TGATACTGCAGCTCTCAGCTTCTGCTCAATGTTTAGCTGGACCTGGACTTAGTCTTCAGAGCAGCAACAGCAGAGAAGTGGCAAAGAGCGCAAGCGGGTTGGCAGGTGGGGGAGGAGCAGTCCATTGAACGCGCTCACAAGAGAAGAACCTGATAAGTTGTTCATTGACATAAAATATATATTGTTAGCAAAGAATTAACATTTGTTAAACATCTGTTTTTACAACAAATAAAAAAAAAAAATCAGAATTGTGCTTTGACATCGATATAACTAAAAAATGTTGTCTACGTGAAAGAAGAAAAAGGGGGCAGGTGTCGCTCTCGCTTTGAGTTTAGACTCTTTGTCGCATGTGTGCTGTGGGTGAAATGCGTCCAGAGCGGAGGACTTCTTAGCAAAAAATAGAGTCCTAACATTTATTAAACATTACTTCTGTATTTAAAAAAATAAAATAAAAATTGTGCTTTGACAAACTAAAGATCTAAAAAAAAAAAAATTGTTAAAGAGGAAGAGGGGCAGGTAACGCTCTCGCTTTGAGGTTACTCTGTCGCATGCGCGCTGGGGTGACAAGTATCACCTGCTGAGTTTCTCAGCAGCAGAGGGAAGCGACACAGCTCGAGCATGGCTCCCCAAATGACAAGACAAACATATTTGTTAATAACTTTATTATTAGTAAGACTGAGAGTTGTTGGATTTTAGCAAACAGTTGCCGAACGCACCCTGACAAAATGAGAATGGTGGAAAAAAACAACGTACTACCTGCCGCAAAATGTTCCCCGAAGTCACATGTGCCCCTCCTGGCATTGCTCCCCCCCCCATAACATATCATAACATAACATGTTAGCGGAAATATGCAAAACAAACGTATGTTCGTGTTTCTAAATAATTAAGGTTCAGTCTAGGTATGTAAACACAATGACTTAAAAGGTGTTAAGATGTTAAGGGCCTTGTACAGAATGGCCAAGGGCCACTTTTGGCCCTCGGGCCTCAAGTTGCCCACATCTGTTCTACTGTACACAGTTTAACCTAAATGGCGTTTCTAAGTTGTATTAAATCCAGCGTTTGTATCTGTTCATTACACTGAGAGCTTCTTCGTTTTCCGTCTCGTCTGTTCACCAGCCGTTGATGTATGTTCCAGGTGCACACGTTCACTGACGTCTGCTGGGACAAGTGTGTGGACAGTCCAAGTTCCAAGCTGGACTACCGGACAGAGACGTGCCTGGTGAACTGCGTTGAGAGATTCATTGATACGACCCTGAGCATCACCAACCGCTTCACACAGATGGTGCAGAAAGGAACGCACTGATAAAAGAACTTGAACAGGACTGGACTTCCACAGAAACCATCTTTTCATCTGCACCTGGTTGGTGGGAAATGATGAATGAAGACTGTGTGTATGTCTGGTGGTGATTCTGGGGAAAAAAATCTGTTTCTGGATGCCAGTTCTGATGTATATTCCTCAGTGCTGATTTTCCTGTGAGCCAGTGGGAGGTCTCTGCTGGTGACGTGAAAAAAGCTAAGTGAAAAAAGTGAAGAAAACAATCCACAGAAACAAATCTTCCTCAAGAAGTTCTTAGAAAGTATTAAAATCTTTAAAAAATCATTCTATTTTTGTCTTTCATAATTTATAAAATACATAATTTTGTACCTTTGATGTCAGAAGCATTGATAATGTGGGGTGGACACACTGGTGGGGGGTCTGGGGGTTCTCCCCCATAAAATTTTGAATAAAGTAGATGCCATTTCCTGCATTCTGGTGTATTTTAACAGGATGTTAAACATCTACATTTACATAAGTAAACACTTTTAACAGAGATGATTCTTCCAGCAGAATGTGCGTGATAATGAAGAAATGCCAGTAAAAAGGGATCGAGGAATAAACACACGACGTCAGCTTTCTTGGTTTCATCAAAAGGGCCAGGTCACCCCTGAGAAAGAGGTCTTGATCTCAATGGGTTTTTATCTGGTTAAATAAAGGTTTAATAAAAAATTTAAAAAAAGAAGGGAAATTTTATTAAACTCTTGTGTTTATATACGCTCAATACAGGAAGCACAGGAACTGCACTTTCAAAATAAAATACAAAAAAGTACAAATGAGAGTATACATATTTTAACACCCCCACTTGCGCTCACTTTGTCAGCTTTGAATGAACTCAAATACGTTTACACTCCAAACATATAGTCTACGAATTTTAACAACTTCGCTTTAGTTGCTTGCTTTGTCATAACATCCACTACCATCAAATCTCTCAAACAATATTCCAATATTAAATTCCCCACATTGCCTGTTGATCTTACAAAATGATATTTGATAAACATGTTTACATCTCTGTCTGTTTACAGGGTTCTTTGCTAACACTATAAATCCCTGATTGTCCTCATAAATCTTAGGTGGTTCCTTCTGATGTTAATACAAACTGGATTCCAAAAAAGTTGGGACACTAAACAAATTGTGAATAAAAACTGAATGCAATGATGTGGGGATGGCAAATGTCAATATTTTATTCGTAATATAACATAGATGACATATCAAAAGTTTAATCTGAGTAAATGTAACATTTTAAAGGAAAAATATGTTGATTCAAAATTTCATTGTCAACAAATCCCAAAAAAGTTGGGACAAGTAGCAATAAGTGGCAGGCAAAAGGAAATTGAGCATATAACGAACAGCTGGAAGACCAATTAACACTAATTAGGTCAATTGACAACATGATTGGTTATAAAAAGAGTTTCTCAGAGTGTTGGTTTCTCTCAGAAGCCAAGATGGTAAGAGGATCACCAATTCCACCATTGTTGCGCAGAAAGATAGTGCAACAATACCAGAATGGAGTTATCCAGCGTAAAATAGCAAAGACTTTTAAGTTATCATCATCAACCGTGCATAACATAATCAAAAGATTCAGAGAATCTGGAACAATCGCTGTGCGTAAGGGTC